TTTTGCTCGTACTTGAAAACTTTCGTCCCGCCTTTTCTCCCGACCCGACTGACTGCCCCTAGGTCTCCGAGGATGAAAAAATCCCTACTTATAGCCAAATTCTTTGTATCGCGTGAGCGTTTCGCAAAACTTCGAAGGAGTTCTGGGTTTTTCTGTTCCGTCAATCATCTAACGGACCTCTTAGGAAACACATCTTTACTTGTGATTGGTGCATTTCGATCCACTTTGTTTGTTTCTGTGTTTTAAGGTTCGTTGCTTGTGATCGCCCTGCTTCGGGCGATAATCTACGAGCCCCAAAGAGGGCGAAACAGCTGTCTGTGGCTACAGTCCCGCTCTGTTTTGAGTTCTTTCGGTGTTGTGTTGATGTCTTGCAGAGTTAATTTTCACGTAGTACGATCAGATTTTTCTGATCATTCCTTACTCTTGTCTCTTGCCCTCGACAAAAAGTCCACTCATCATCGCGATTTCCTTCGCTATTCTTGAGCAGTCTGGAGTCATTCTCAGTTTTGTTTCTGCAGGCCAAGATAGGCGAGTGCTTTGCATTGTGATTTGCATAAACTCCGCCCCCACTCAAATAATTGACGGAACAGAAAAATCCATTCGAAGTTTGCAAACTCGCAGCGCGATACAATCAAGCTACCAAAAAAATACTTGCTACAATTTTCCTACCCCCAAAAATCCCGAAATAGAAAATTTTAAACCCCAAAAAATCCTTCGATCATCCCGGTCACTTGAAATCTGGAGTACCCCCCCGCCCGCCCCCACCCCCACCCCACCGAACTCAAGCTACAAAATGTTCTAAAATCTATGAGTTACTGTGAACTTAAAAAATAAAGATGGTCGACAAACGTGATTTTTATACTATAAACGTGTGGAAAATAAAAATTAGCTGCTGAGATCCGGTTTGGTTTCGGTCGATGTTAGATAGTATTTCGTGACGTCTAAATAACATCGACCGAAACCAGCGTTCCTTGGGAAGACCATAAGCCGCGTCGTTCAATGCAATACGGCTGAGTCTATTACAGATTTAACATTTTTTTAGTGATATAAACTGGAAACGACAGTATTGACCGTTTTATGACTCAAACTAACTCAAATATAACATCTTCGCTGCGATCGATCAAGTGAGCGGAAGTCGACGGGATCATTTCAGTCATTTTGTAAGGCGTCGATGTTATCTAGTGCCTTCTTGCCTGACTTCTACCCTTGTTACCAGGGCTCTACCAAATGGTTAGCGTGCAAGTTAGAGTGTCGTTAGCGAAAAAGCCCGGAGACTCTGGGTACGAGATTGGTGACGACCGGAAGAAAAGGCAGCGGACCATAAGAAAAGTGATGGTGGGGGTAGCAAATTAAGCCAAAAGCAAAAATTCGAGCAATAGAAAATCTTCCCAAAAAAAATTATGCAAAGTGAAACTCAAAATAAAAAATTCATGCATGACAAAGTGCTCAGCCTCTGTGTAAGTCGAGCAAGGGAAGCAAGGCTGATTTTACAGTCGGGAACATATATTTTTTGTTACCAATATTTCAGAAGGATCCGGTCCTTCTTTCTTGTAACGTTGGTCCTTGCTTCCAAAACTTAATCTATAAAGTAATGTTTAAAATGTTTCTTTCGGTCGAAGGAGTAAACCCTCAGTTTGAACTAGAGAGGAGAAGACAAGTTCAGGAACTGATTAATAACCAGTGAATAACTCTTGATGAAAACGCCGCCGGTTAGCCCAGTTGGGAGAGCACTAGTCTGCCTAGCGGGAGGTCGTGGCTTCAAATTAACCCCAACCGAACCAACAACCAGAGTCTTCAAAAAACTGCATGGTGAGATCGTGCTGGCTGTTATTTAAGACCTTGTCTCAGTTAAGATGATCACGTCGTTGGGCGGTGACGTTAAGCCGTTGGCCTTGAGCTGAAATGCTTCAGTTGCACTTTATATTCGCTTCAAATTATATTTCCAAAGCGTCATAAAAAAATGATCGAAAATAAATAGAAAACGGACGTAACAGGTCACGAGACTAAAATAGTGCATTTATGACAAAGACGGTAATATACAGATTTAGCCAGGGCTAAAAGCGAAGCTATCGTTATTATTTACAGTTTACTCAAACAAAACATAAAATCGTGTAATGCTAGGCGGCGATACTGCAAAACAGTAATGAAGAAATCGGTAAAGCGTGGCGTAAGAGTCTTACGCGCGAATTGCGCGAGCCTCACACGCCCGTTTGGCTGCTGGCGCCTACTTGAATACGCAAACATACGGACTGTTTTGCAGTCTAAAGCGGCGACGGCTACAAAAACGTCTAGGTCTAATAAACAAAATAACAACTTTGCAAGCGCAGCACCGTTCATTTCTTTGCCGTTGTTTTGGACGACTAATTGCACGACTACAATGTGAAGCTTCCAGAAACTTCCTAGTTGCACGTTTTATAGAGGAATAATGTCGTATTTGTTCCTGTTAACGTTTTTTTTCGCTGCCGCTCATTGTTACCTCCGCTAGCATTTCTCATTTTCTCACCACCGCTATAAAATTTTCACGTTTTTCTTCCAACGAAATTGGTCTCCTTTGTTTTTTATCTCTAGCTCTAGCTCTTTCTCTTTTATCCACGTTAATGTAGACATTAAAATTTAGTCGAAAGAAAGAATCGGCTTTGTTGTTGTTGTTTTCTTTCTCTCTAAAAGTCCGGGTGGCCATGCGATTTACCCCCGAAACGCGCGGGTGCTTGAAACGCAAACTTTCACCCTGGCTTACATGAATGGGGTGAATGTACGTACAGACGTAGGGACGATTTTCTCAGAACCAAAGTTTCTTGGATGCATTGATAACCAAATTTTCTTACCCATGGTGCTTCGCTGCGCGCTTCGGGCGCGGGAGAGCTCCGCTAAAAACACAAACTTTTTAACTGAAAACGTAAATTCCAGTCTTTAATATACCATGCCTTCCTCAAACCAACTTCAACTGAAAATGAAATTTACTTGATGTAATAAAGAAAGCACGAAATGAGTTCTGGCGGTTCACAGGCATCCCATACTAACTATGTCAGCGCTTGTTAAAATATCTAGTAGTATTGCGAAATTTGACGATTCATAGAGTTTATATTGCAAACTTGAAAATTCTAAAAAATCGCCATGGTAAAGGAACAAAACAAAGCTATAAGAATACCGTAAAATTCCGAAAATAAGCCCCGGGGTTTGTATTTTTCATTGTAGTTTTTTAAACTAAGGGGTAAAGAGCACTGTTCATTTGTCAGAATTGACCGGCAGCCAGACCGTTCCCATGGTAATGAGGACACCAATTCCTTATCATACTGTGTAAGTATTTTAATACAGTAGAAGTAATTTACCAGAGTATTTTTCTTACCATTCTACGTGAATATATATATGTTATTCACCGGCTGGAAAGTCCGTATTGGGAGAAACTGTGCCCGAGGTCTACGGCCTCGGGCGGTACTCAGACCGAGGGCACAGTTTCTCCCAATACGGACCGACCTAGGCCGGTGAATAACATTTTTATTTTTTCCTACTGAGATTTAAAAGTTTCAGAAAAATGTTCCTTCATTCTCCAACCTATGTGTGTTGAAGTAGAACGCGTTCGTGTCGATGAAGCGCGCGATCGATTTCAAACCAAAACAAAACATTACAACATGATTTTTAGCTCTGTAATTTACATTATGGCACTTACTGCTCTCTTTTAGAATAAACAAAGGTATCAAACAAAGTGTCAAACAGGAATAAAAGAATTCACGAACTTGATATTAAAAGCCCCATGAAAAAAAAAAAAAACAGCAAGGATTTACTTCGGCTGAATAATTCAAAAACTGATTTTAAAAAAATTCACGAACTTGATATTAAAAGCCCCATGAAAAAAAAAAAAAACAGCAAGGATTTACTTCGGCTGAATAATTCAAAAACTGATTTAAGATTACTTCAATCGAGCAAGATGAAAACTTCAACTACTGACTTGCTTGATTCTTCCTCGAGATTTTTTGTCTGAATAATAAAATTCACTTTTCCCTAGCTAATTCTAATAATAGCGCAAGTTTTAAAAGAACAATGGTTTGAAAATGACGCCTTTTCCTCATTTACAAACAACACACAAACTTGAGAATGAAGCTGCCAACGATTCCGCCCTGGTTAGCGGGCAAGATCGTAAAATGGTCATACCGCCCGCTCTCGGAACTAATCAGATTGCAGGATTTGGAGGATTCCGCCCGCTCACAAGCTTGGAAAAAAAATAAATAACTAAACCACTGCTTCTAGATGTATTTTGGTATATCAAGTAATGCAGGTTATAGTAAAAGTAGTTAGGTTTTAAAAAGTTACGTCATTCTACCTAGTTATTGAGATGTCTTTTTATAATTTGTTATAGAGTATTAACTTATAATTACAAGTCTTAGGGCGCCGGACCAGTAATTTGGTAATTGAAAAAGGCTTTTTAAAGGACTTTTGGCTAAAATAACATATCAACCGATGCATATTATTCATGAATTGATTTATCTCAGGCTGGACAGTTTCAATTAAAAGTGGAATTACCCCGCGAAGGGGAGTAATTAGAGGCTTCTGTATTCGCAAGCTATTGTAGCTAAGGATTACTGTTGTTCAGAAATTAGCCTTAACCATTTATAACTTGTCAATGAAAGAGTTATCCTAATGGCTGAAAATATTCACAGATTGATAAAAGGGCACCAAAAACAGGAACAATTCTTAACGAACAAACTCGATTGGAAATGTCTTTGACTAAGTTCTGTGGTAAGAAATATCTTGAGAAAGGATTGATCCTATACGAACAAATTCTATTCAGTACGGAAACTGACACTGAATATTTTCGAAGACTGCAAGCAAGGAACAACTGGAGCAAAAATTGTTCTTAACATCTCAATGCTAATGAAATTGCTGGAAAAAACATTTGACCTGTACACTGACAGACGTTAAAACCGAGTGTTCACACGCTACAGTCATAGTAATGATCATCAGCGACATGATTCAAAGAGAGAGAAACTAGGTAATCATTAGAACACGTATTTTCCTAGGATTTTTAAAGCAACAGGCTCTAATGGTGGAGTATTTACAGGGGACTGCAGACAAGGTGGAATCACTAAAAACCAAGTTCTATTAAGACGACTACAGTAATTATCTTGGTAATTGAGGGGGCTGTATGAATTTTTTCAGGCAGAAAATTTTTTCTTATGAATGGTTAGTCCACTAAAACGGCTAATTATACCTTAAAAATAACATTGACAAATAAAAAGTAAATGTGAAAAAATAGATTCCTTGTTTCTTGCGATCATCTTTGCAAATAAGGTGCCACACTAAAGATTCAGCCGGTTGTTCCACTCAAATGTCTTCAATTCAAAATATTGCAAGTAAGCAACTCTTGACTAGCAGCGTAATCAGACATCTTTACTTCCTTTCTGTGGAATAAGGCTAACATAGTGAAGCTCATGAAGGTGACCCAGCACAAGCCGATTGCTACCAGTAACATCATACTCTGGGCAGATCATTACGTCATGGCGATGCGGAAGACTGCTGATCACGTGGATGCACGTTTGAAAACAGTTTGCCGCGCCGTGTAGAATCACGTGATCACCCCATGTACCATCTGTCATCATGCTTGTGAGGTAGGCATCCCAAGATGGATATCCATCAACAAAATGAAACAGTTCTGTCCCATCCGGCTGTAAGAAAGAAAGAAAATACTGTAGTTAATAAAGAAAAAGGTGGAGTGCTTTGGTAGAAGGTATTTATTTAGACAGCCGCGCTGTCTGTTCTCTCTAAGGCTGACCCCGCTGGTATCAGCACTAGTATAGTGTACACTGTTTTAGGAGTATCCCTATTAAAGTATTAAAGCAAAGATTTGTTCACCTTAGTAGTATAGGACGAGCCAGGTAGACGTCTTTTTTAAAGTGAGAAAAATTAACGTCGATGACGTCTTTATCTCCTTTGCGCACCAAGAATCAGTGAACCGGAACCAGAACAATAAAGCTATGATCATACTATACCAGATAAGCTTTGGTGACGACACGAAAAGCCATCCAGTAAAGTGTGAACATCTATCCGATATGTGACTCTCCACTTAAGAGATCGGCGCGGCACAGCTTCTCTCTGTTTAACAGAAATCGCGCCGAAATCACCGTTCTTGTGTGTGAACTGAAACCCCATCCGGTATGATTCTCGTGCCCGCGAAAAAACTATACGGTATAGTGTGAAGACAGATTAAGTTGTCTGCAATGGACAATGAGGGCGTCATGGTTCAGAGGTGTCTTCATGACCAAATAAAAACATGACGCACATACATATGATCTACGACATCATTCTCACAAAATAAGGACAAGATATCAACAAGTTATCAATATAAGAATAATTGGATATACTAAATACTACATAAAAATAGCTCGTGACGTTATCTTGATGAGATTCTACCGCATTTTATTGCTGAGATAAAGATGTCATGTCATCACAGTAATAAGATTCGACTACAAAAAGGGGTCTAACCTGTGTGACCTATACTACTCTTCTTAAAATGTCAAAAAAACGACAGTTAAGAACGGCAGGGATGAAGACTTTTATGGAGGTGGAGTAGGTTTAGGAGGTTTTTGGGAGGTGTCCGTTACACGTGTAAGAGAGAGAGAGAGAGGAGGGAAGGGATGTTTACTGTTAAAACTAGAAATAATAAATGACAGAACTTCGCGAAGGGCTTCGGGGGAACGGCAAGTAAAGCCGAGAGGAAAATTTGTAAATCTAAAAATTTGTATATAGAAACATAACAAAACTGTTATACCTAAAATGAAAACTAAACGAAAAGAAAAAGAAGAAAAGAAGAGAAAAGAAGCGAAGAGAGAAAGGTTATGCCCAGAATCGAACTCAGGTCCTTCGACGCACCAGGGCAAAGCTTAACCACTAGGCCACGTGGAACACACAGGAGAATGTGTCGCAATTTTATTTTTAAGACCTTCGAGCCTTATTAAACGTGAATTCAAAGATATTTTTCAGAAGAATGACTGCAGTTTCGACAGTGAAAACCCAACGTAAATGCATTTCATCGCATTTACATGTAAAGAATGGAAGCCCAACAGTCTAGGCCGATACGGTATAAACTCGTCTGCGAGCAAAACGTGTTTTGTTTCTTTAAACAATGAATGTATGCATAATTAATGTATGGGGTTATACGGAAATCTTGCCGCATTCGAAATTCATTGAGTGATGTTCCCTCTGCTCCGCTGTTTGTTGATGCCGTCTCCATCTTTGTTGATTGCGCCGTTGAATTTGAAGTGGGCGTCCTCGCTCCAGAGGATTTTTCGGCGTCAAATCTTCCCCTGTGAGGACTGACAATTCGGCCTTCTTGTGTTTGCTGTTCTGTTGGTATGAGAAATTGCTTGAGATTCACCGATAGTAAACATTGTTTTGCAGACGATGAAAAGACAGCTCTTCATGAATACTTTGGTCATTGATGGAATTCGAAATCGCTTTCAGTCGAATGTTGCCTAGAGACAAAAATGCGCCGTGACGTCAAACTACTGTATGACGTCATGGCGGGCACCGTCGGATATATACAAGTAAAGACAGGGCGGATAAAGGTAGGGCGGTGAAACGAGCGCGTACGAGCAAAAAGGTGTGATGCAGTGGACTGCGACTCTGCTTAGAAATGTCGCTTGTTTTCGACTTCGGTCAGGGCTTGCGATGTGGTTTGTACATGAAACACTGTCGCTGAATTATGGCAGCTTGATTTGTTTTCTTGCACTTCTTCCTCGTTCCTTTGTGCTGGTACGCTGTCTCCGAGAGGCAAATATTGCTATTTTTTGCGGGAGGTTTAGTTGAATTGGAGTAGACAAACATCTCTTTCAAAGGGTTTCTTTTATTACTTCCATGACTCTACCACTGAATTATATTTTCGTTTTGCTACTCGCCAATGTCGATGTTATTCCAAAACAAAAACAGCTAAGTACTGTCTAAAACACGAAGGAAAATGTCATCCATGGCAAAACTAAAAGACAGCAGATCGTGTTTCATAACTAGATGACGTGTATTTTGCTGAATGCGTGCAGCTCGTGCAAGGTGAAATTATGCTAATTTCAATCACCATCATCCTTCTTTTTAATTTTGAAAAAAACATCTCATACGTCTTTCTTTTTCTTCGAAACTTCAAAATTAGTTTCCCCTCAGTTTTCACTGTTTACCTTGTTTTGTTTTAGAGAGAAAAACGGAGGAAAAACCTTACAACTAACCTCAATAAATTTTGTTTATATGCGGTTGCCGGATTTGCAACGCATTGCGCGAATCGCCATGGCGCGTTGCACCCGAGAAGCAAAGTTTGAAGAAGTACAACGCCACTATATCAATATATATCAATCTAATTTTTTGTTATGTTATACAAAATTTATCCCCCTTTAACATATGTAAAAATTGAGGTTAAGAAGTGTTAAGCTTTTGCAAACGAAACGGCCAAAGACGATTAGGTGATATTTAGTGGAAGGAGGAGGTATTCAACACTTTCAAATTAAACTCAAATTTTGGCATTATACCACAAACAAGTTTAACTTATAGACGTACAGACACAAACATATGAAACTGTTTATTGATAATATTATGAAACGAATTTATCTATTTAACATTGTACCCTGAAATTACAGAAAGAAAATAGGATTTCCGGTTCGCAAAAAGAAAAATTTCGCCGGCCTTCAAGCGCACCGGAAGCGCGGAAGGAGCGCTCGTGCCAGTCCTACTCCGCATCACACATTAAATGAAGAGCGGAGCGCTCGTTTCACCGCCCAACCTTTATCCGCCCTGAGTAAAGATGAGAGCTGCGAGTTTGCGGCTCGCTAGAACCCACACGCGGTTCACGCAGTGCGCGCGCGCGACGAGATTATAAACACACTTCACTCGGCGCTTCGCGAGGAATAATGTGAGTTTAGAAATTGCGACTTTCAAACCAGTATGTAGTCAAACCCTGTTCATACAAAACTGGTGTTGGTCGACATTTCAAGTTTAGCAATATACCATAAAAAATAAAATAGGACATGAGCATGACGATCGAGCCGACAAAAACAGATAAAAAAATTTCTCCGTATACATTTATGCCTCCGCCTCGAAAAGTAAGTGCGTTCTCTCAAACTTTATCGCGCTTATTTAGCCATGCTTAATTTAACATAAGTCGACGAATTTTCTTAGATTTGAGGTCTTAATGACTGTATCCCAGCCCGAAAACAATAATTCACTGTGGGGGGTTCGGTGCCCTACACAAAACGTCGGATACGGACGTTTTGCGTCGCAGTCGTGCAGTGAACGACGAAGCAAAGTACAAACAAGCGTGATGCTCATAGAGAGCTGATGTTTTGCTCATAAAGGGTGGATTCATTTGCAGCATACCCGTAAAGCCGTCACATTCAATCGCAGGAATTTGAGGCTCCTACAGCACGTATCCTGATAAATATTTTTTTAAATCGGAGATTTATTTGTCCATTTTAGCCTTCCGTCCACACGTGATCGGCATTTTCGAAACGACGTGCGGATGGACGAATACAGAGGATTTAGAATACAACATTGCGCACGATCTGTAAAGGGATGTTATCGTATTTCGATCATTTTAGCGTTTTTAGGTGGACGGACGAAAAAGATTCAAATACGCTTCGTGTGGACGCGTATTTCGCATTCGTGTGGACAGGGCCTTATTGTTGTTAACTTTAAGGTATCAGCCACCCTTCAGGACAGTCCGCGCGCGGATCGCTTTAGAGTTAGTTGTTTTTATAAAAACCCCTATAAACCATATATTTTTTAAAAGCTTAATAATTCCAGATTATGGATTTGAACTAACAAAAACGATTTACTTAAATGTGTTTCGAAATTGGAACGCTTTGTGTAAAAGTACACGTCTCTATAAATCATGTTCCACTCCCGTCGGAAATAAACGGAAGAAAACAATTAACACCGCATTCGCTTCTCAACACGTTCCACTAAAAAACCGTGTCTCAGATTTTTGACAAGTGCGTTTGTTTTTCTTTTATTAGCAAATGAAGTTGGGGAAGGCAATTAGTCAACACTCTCTGTGTAAAAAAAGCTCTAGCTTTAAAATGAAAAGGAGTATTAAAATTCGCAGACACGGTTTTGTAGAAGAGATATATGGCATCACTCTGGCCAAATTTTAGCCAAATTGATTGAAAGGCTGCCGACTTGGAGTTCAAAACGTACGAGTCGATCAGTAAAATTTGCGTTCGGAGATAAAATAGAAAATACATTTTTGGCGGCATCCTACCTGGAATGAGATTATAACACCTAAATGTTTATTCTGATTGATATCAGAGAGGGATCAATTTTCTCTAACAATAGGACTTTGACAGGTAATATGTAACAGGAACAAACTTTTTATTGCTATCAACATCTTCAAGTGAACAGTTTAATTCTCCGTTGGAAAACTTCCACTCTTTTACACCACGAGAAGCACGGTTTAATTCTTTCTCGAGCGCCAGGCCAAGGAAACTAAAAAACTTTGAAGCCGCCGAATGCCCACCACCGATTGCTCGAAGGCCAAGAACTGAGGCCCGGTTTTTTCAAACGCTCTGCTCTTCTCGGAAGAATTAAAAACAGAATTTGTCTTGTGCGACGGCCAGCTTTCATTCTCGCACTGGATTCTCCAGGTAGAACCAAGTCCATGCTTAGTCGCTACATTTTCCATGACTTGGACTCTTCCCTGGCAAAATCGACAAGATACAGACTCGTCCAGTTTCTCAAGCAGCTTTTCGCTCAATACGATAGCTCGACCGCTTATTGTTTTCCACGTTCCATCAGCAGATGGGGTCGATGAGCTTAATTGGCTTTCTTCATCTGGTTGTTCAAGCTGGATTTTGGAGCGGCTTGCACTCTCAACAACTGCAGCATTTTCGCTTTTCTGAATATCCAACTCCTCGAGCCACTTCTCTTGCTGATAAAATGAGCCTTTGTCGCTCTCTGCCAATTTTGCGGCCCATTCTTTGTCAAACTCGCTCCTCGATTTCTTTTTCGTTCTCGGTTTCGATGACGAAAACGGGCACGACCTTTTCTTTTTTTTGGCGGCATTTTCACCGAAACAAACGCTAAATATCCACGGAGAATACTAAAGGCTATAAACAACGCGAAGACAATTCGCACGTGTTGTGTCGAAGCACGCACTCGGTATCACGTTACTAGTTCACAGGCAAGTTAATTGATATATGACACGGGTATGACAGATCTTGTTAACGATCAATTAAGATAATTAACGAGAAAAAATCTTTTACCCCCGATATCCTTCGACAGAAATAATATTTGCTTCTGATTTTTTTTTAAAAGAAAGCTCTCACGCATATCTATTTGAAAACGTTGAAACCTCAAATATGGAAAAATGGCAATTTTAAGGGTGGCTGATACCTTAAGAGGAATTAAAACAATGTAGCGGACAAATGCCACAGCTATGCGCGTATACTGCAAATGTGTGCACCCTAATAAGGTAATAAGATACTTACCAGCCTGGGGTTTTCCCGAAGGTGTTGTACAACAGTTCGGCGTAACTCATCATGGGACATTTGAATTCCTTTGATGAGGTCAAGCTGCTCTGAAAGTGCAAAAAACATGCAGTTTCCCTCTCCTTGATTGTCAGATATCGCAAAACCTTTTTCCAAGGCAGTCCTCTTTAAAGCCTGGGACAGCTCAGTTTTGCTGGACTCTATGCGTGCTTCCAGCAGGATTTGTTGAAGTGTACGGAAAATGAGTTCACCTGAAAGCGGAAGATGAAAAAGACAAAATAAGATAGAGGTTATTTCACGCCAGTTTTATAGGAGATGATGATAATGATAAAGAATTTGTATGGTGCTAGAACTATAAAATATTCAAAAGCGCTTCACATTAAGTTACAATTAAAAAAATTCCTAAAAAGCTAATAATAACGATAATAATAATAATAATAATAATAAAATTCCATGCTATGCGAAAAACTAAAAAGTCTAAAATTCTATACAAAATTAAAATTAAAATATTCAATCACTAAACTTCAGAGTTATTCTAGTAAAGTATAAGCTTTCCTAAAAAGAAATGTTTTAAGATTCTTTTTAAAAATGGCTTCTACTTCTTCTTTTAGTTAATGGCAGCGAGTTCCATAAAACAGGTGCAGCACAGTGCACTAGTCTGAAGCTTACAACAGTCGACAATTTCAGAAAAATTACTGTGGTTTCAAAAGAAAAAAGTAACTGCACTCTACTGCAAAAATATATTTTGGCTTTGGTTTAATTGACAAAGCAAACAATGACATCACCTGCCATCGGTCCTGTTGCAGCATCTTTTTCAAAACCATTCTGTGGAAGGTCATCTTGGGTTTTTTCAACACCTGTAAAGTTTAAAATTAGCAGTGAATTTAAATGGCTTGGCCTGTAAAACTGGGATTCAAACCCAGCAAGCACTGGAGACAAGAGCTCCCGGGACTGATATTTCAGTGTGTGATGGTCAAAACTTACTATTAAAACCAGATAAACTGGGATTCCAGCCCAGCAAGCAAGGGGGACAGGAGCTCCCAGGACTGATATTTCGGTCTAGGATAGTTAAATCATTATTAAACCTAGATAAACTAGGATTCCAACCCAGTAAGATGGGAGACAGGTGCTCCCAGGACTGATATTGTAGTCTATGATAGTTAAAACTTACTATTAAAATTAGATAAACTGGATTCCAAGCAAGGGAGACAGGTGTTTTCAGGACTGATATTTGAGTCCATGATGGTTAAATCATCGTTAAAACTAGACAAACTGGGATTCCAACCCAGCGAGCAAGGGAAACAAGAAGAAGAAGAAGAAGAAGAAGAACCTTTATTAATTTATACCGTTCAGGGTAGCCCCTTCAGACGCAAAAAGCTGTCTGTTATCAATGGGAGCCCTGAGCAACAACGCACAAAAGAGCAAGGAAGACAGGAGTTTTAGGGACTGATATTTCAGTCTATGATAGTTACATCGCTGTTAAGACTAGATAAACTGGGATTCCAACCCAGCAAGCAAGGGAGACTGTAAGCGGGAGAGGGAAACAGTTATTTTACATATACGTCAGTTTACTCGGAGATGCTACACTAAACATTGAAAAGCTAAAAGCATCCGAATAATCGAAAGCACCCTTGTTCAACAGAAAAAAATAACCTCACTCTTACCTGCCATCGGGCCTGTTGCAGCAACTTTTTCACAGTCGTTCGGTGGAAAGTCACCTTCTTTGGTTTTTTCAAGACCTGTAAATTAGAAAAAAGTGTTGATTATAACAAAAAAATGTCACTTAAAAAAAGGAAGATTCCAACCTTAAAAGCCTTCCATTCATTTTTTTTTTGTTATAAGTTATAACCCAAAAGTTTGGCTGGGCTTTTTTTGTTATTTTCTTTTTATATACAAGAGAACCCCAAAATTGCTGCTGAATATGAATAGAAATCAGATGACTTTGATGTATCGCAATGTTATAGATTTTAATTTTCTTTTATAGTTAACTCCTTCAAGTGTAGCCAACATTTTATAAAATTAAACATAAAAGTTTTAAAGAATAGAATTGATAAGCCGGTAAAAAAGATCTTGATTATTAAACAAATTCTCCTCATCAGTAACACAAGATATGTATGGAGAACAGTGTGGAGAGTGTGAATGCTAACATTAAGGTTAAAAAGGCTAACGAAAATAGCGATGCGCATGGACCACGAAACATAATGTAGTAAAAATGTATTTATGCACTCGCTATTGCAGAAGCCATGGCCATACAGTGATGAAAGATGAAGGTCAAATGAAGGATAATCCTGATAAGATATGCATTTTAACATTTTCAAGTACTAATTATTATTATTATCGGTAAATTTGATTTCTTACCATAGACCATCTTCCACATCCTGTCAACAAGGGCCTGGCACTGTCTGTCCCGAGAGAATCTTTCATCATAACTTCTTCTCAGTCTTTGGATTTCCTCAAGCCGCTGTGTCCTTGATTTTTGACGGATGGCTGCAATTGCCTTTGCCCATTCCTTAGGGTCATCAGAGTCGATCACAAAAGACTCACCCATTGGAAGACCACGCAGTGCTTTTCCAAATCCGGAGTTTCCACTAACTAGAATGGGAAGACCAGCTGACATGGCCTCTAATGCTGTCAAACCAAACCCCTCGGTTCTTGATGGCATGATGGCCAGATCAACTTCACAAAACAACTCTCTCAATCTTTTTTTGTCTTTCACAAATGATCTCACAATCAGCTGGTTCTTTGAAATGCCAGTTTGGAGTAAGATTTCTGCGACTTCATCCTGCTTTCCATCGGAAGCACCAACGAAAACAAGGCTATAAGTACTGTCCTTCAATTCAACTATGGATTGAGCGGCAATGTCGTATCCTTTAAGACTAAAGTCTTCCAAATCACCGCGACCAAAGGTCAATACTCTGAAATTTACACCATCTTGTGCAGCATGTTCAATATCTGAAAACTCTGCAAAGGAACCTGGTATTAATTGAAAGATGTCTCGATGAGATGAACGCAACTTGCACGCGATCGCTTCTTTTAACTTGGGTCCCACGGCTAAAACGAGATCTGCAATTTGACAAAGGTCAACTTCAGCTCTGTTCTTCCCTTCTCCCTTGGCAATGGCGCTTGGATAGTTCTTATGCATCGCAAGCTCTTCAGGCTCAGTGTGAACAACCTGCACCCACTTGCAGCAATGAGACTTTCTGATAATTTGCGCTTGTCTGCCAAGCTTTGCTCCATGGCCGATCACAACCTGGATGTCAAGGTCATCTGGTGGAAAACTCAACCAGTCAAGAGGATCACTGAAGGCAGGAAGGCGCCCTGCTTCTCGGATGGAAATGTTGTGTCTTTTGGCAGCTCTCTTATCCTCTTCGCCACACTCAAATTCAGGTACAAGAATGGTGACTTCTACGTTTGCGTCTTTTGCCAATTGTATGGCAAGAGTTCTGTTTATTGTTGACAAGCCACCCTTAGACGACCCCCACTCATTCGCGAGAAGTGTAACTTTCAGTACGAGACGCTCTGGACGAGCTTGTGCAGTATCAGGTGATGATGATGGAGTACACGCTTCCTACATAGCAACCAAAACTACATATTATAAAATATAAATTTTACATCTGGGGGTTTCTACCTTTTTGAATGACAGTTTGCAAAACATGTTAACACGTTAGATGCTATAAACTTTTTGCTCAACCGCAAAGCAAACAGCACGTTAAAAAAGACTTGAGAAAAAGTTATATGCCCACTGCTTAATGCCTACAGGCCAATAACAATTAGTAATACATGGTAGCCAATTGACCTTATCAACTTACATGATATTAAGAACCAATGTTCGTTAAGTTGACAGCAACAAAGCTTTCTATTACACTGCAGAGAAGCTCGTGGTAGGATAAATGAAGGCATACGTTGCACATCATACTATAAGGGCTTCTGATATTTCGCGGAAAAAAAAGCAAAATTTCGCGGGATTTTCAGGGGCAAATTCGCGGAAAAATCGGCCGATTTCGCAGGATTTTCGCGGGAGAAAAGTCAAAATTCGCAGAAAAATCGGCCGATTTCGCAGGATTTTCGCGGGAGAAAAGTCAAAATTCGCAGAAATATCGGCCGATTTCGCCGGATTTTAGCGGAAAAAAGTCAAATTACGAAGGATTTTCAGAGAAAAATCGGCCGATTTCACGGGAAATTTCGGGGGGAAACTTTGCCAAGAAACAACCAGTAAAAAACAGCCGATTTCACTGGATTTTTTTTGGGCAAATTTAGCTAAAATCGATCAATTTTGCGTGGATATGACCAGCGTTTTTTAAATACTATTAAATCATATTCAATGTAGTTAACGACTAGGAGCTATGGTCCTGGGTGTTTTGGGCATTCTTTGGTAGCGCATTGGTCGTCCGTAGCGTTGTGCGTGACTATGTTTGCGTTTGTAGCGTTTACCATTGTTCGTGAGCATGGGGGCAGTTTCCTGTCCAGCGGTATGTCGCTTTGGCACATGCGGAGGCCACGTGCCTACGTTGTGTTTGCGTTGTACTCGAAGCTTTCTTGGCGTGGCGTGGCGTTCCAGTTGCGTAGCGTTTCTCTTGGTTCCCCTCCCTCCCTCCGCTTTCTTTCTTATTTATTTATTTAGTTATTTATTCTTTCAGGGGTTGGTATTATTAGTATGTGTATTCACTTGCTATGTGAAATTTGCTAAAAGCACTGCTAGAGATCGCATTTTACTGCTACCTACCTTACTTTCTATTTGTGAGAACCACTTTTGCTGTCCCGTAACTGTGAGTACCTCCTCTGCAGGTTTCTTCTTGCAAATCAGAGGATCACCTTGTCTTAACTCAAGGAGGTGAAGACAATCTTCATGAGAACATGCGATCTGATCATGCCTTGAACACTTTTCCCGCTGACAATACGGACAGGCGACTCGAATATGATACTGCAATCCACCTTTATAGAGATCACGTGACAAAGTTTGCAAAGTTGCCTCCACAAACTCACGAACATGCACTGCCACCTCACTTGTGCCATCCACCGAGATCTGCTGAAGTTGGTTTCTTTGCTTGATAAAAAACTTAATAAACTGCTTCTTACAAATAAAAACAAAATCATGGAAAGTTTGCTTCCCAATGACAAACCACGCTCCATTTTGGTACAGGGTAGGGGGCTGAGTTGGACCAGCCTCTGAACACCAACGGACAGATCGAGAAACAAGCCGAGTGAACAGACCATGGGGAACAGAACCGCTGACAAAGTAAACAAACAGAGGACAAGGGTCCAGCCTTGAGGGCGCCATGGAACAAAGGGAATCAGGCGAAGCTTTGAGTTGAGATGGAACAAAATACTTTTCACCTGTCTTTGAGGATGAAAATTTTGCAATCAATCCAAATTGTTCCATCAAATCCAGAATGTCTTTCCTGGCAACGCCCTCCAGAAGAAATTTGGAAAACACATGATCAAGCAGTTCCATGCTGAGAACACCGCTATCTTCGACTTCCTTCCAGTGCTTTGCAAACTTAGGGACCTAAGACGGAATAACAAGAGGAATATAAAGAAATTATTTTTCGCAAGAAAGGTTTTATTCAGGATATTGTGCAAGTTAATAACATTCGCTGCTCATTTTAGGTGTTACGTTTCAGGAGAATTGTAAATATAGCGAACACGTACGTGCTAAGTTGATTAAGGCAAATACTGTTAGTGTCTGTTTGTATTAAGATTTTTTACAGATGGAAGGTTTTAGTCAAGTTGAAGTAGACCACCTATTTAGCGCCTTAGTTTTACCGAATTTCACTTATGGTCTGCCTGTTTATGGCGCTGTAGACTCAGATCTCACGGTCATACAAAACGTTTTGGATAGATGCTTTAAAAGGAAATACACATCTAAGAGAATGGACATTCGAGAACTTTTAGAAAAGGCAGATAAGAAGCTTTTCAAGGTACGTTCAGTGGATCCCGATTGCCAGCTTAGTAACATCATTCCGAAGAAGAAAGAAACAAAGTAACAACTCAGAAACAAAAGTACTCATCGCCCGGATATAAAGACTGATACATTTAAGAATGTTTTTGTAAATAGGCTTATTTTCAGATATAATCTTTGATCTTTCTATTATTTGTATACAGTATGTCTTATGTATTTTTAGAATCCTAACTGCTGATGTAACTTAAGATATGTCTTTTTATCTTAGGAAGAATAAAGATTGATTGATTGATTTGATTGATTGAATGATCATAAAACTATTCAAAATAGCTTTCTTCCAGGAATATTTTACATTTCTAAATGTCATACTAATAAAGTTTAGCAAGTTCTCTAAAAGAAATAAACTACTTAACATTTTAAGTATAACATTCAAGGAAAACTTTCCTCCTTGTAATTTGCGGATTTGTGTTAGGACACATAAAATGGAAGTTACGAAAGACTGCCTAGAAAGTATAACTGTGAATAAATCTCTCTGGGGGCGAAAAAAGATCATAGCCTTTTAAACAGACCTCAGATTTTAAATCTTTAGAATGCTCTTTAAAGCGTCACGTAAATGCCAGAATCCTCCATTTGGTTTACTCGCCGGAAAATTCTTACGGTCCAAACTCCAGAAACTATAAAAGTGCGTTCTGATTGGTCGACATAAAGAGTCGCTGGTTTCAGCACAGGTATATGTATCTTTCCACTATTTTTTGTTGTGCGACGTTCCTTTAAGACTACATTTGAGGATAATTCTACAAGTCATGTAATGTACTTCCAGTGCACCCCTTTAAAGGTAGATTGTGCTGATGACACACACGAAAGATAGCGTGCAATGCACGTGACATAATTATTTTTGTTTGTTACGCCACGGTTTGACACCCGTGATGTCATCCAAAATGGGGGCCGTTAAAAACATGGCAAGTTTAAAAACACGTTAACTTGTATTTCTTACCATTTTCGTAAAATCTGGAATAGTGATCAGCTGCCCGAACAAGTCTATCAGCCACTTGGCACTCAAGATGACTGTGCCACGGTGCTTGATAATTATCCTCAGGTCATGATAGAAATTCACCATAGTAGTAAACTCTTTCTCTTCATTAATGAAGCACTTCTCCTTGGCATGGGTCCGTAGCTTCGTTATACTCAGGAAATAAACTGGCTTGGAAAGCAAAGCGTTGATGACTTTCTCAAAGTTCAGCCAACTAGTTTACAAAACCAAAGAGAAAATTGATAGCTAGCTTTCAAGTACCCATGCCACGACACAGTATACCTGTCCTGACTAAAGTACAGGGCCCAGATGTGCGAAAGGTGGATAACTGTATCCACTGGAGAAATATCTGTGTGTGATCCACTTTACTTTACCTTTTTAAAACGACAATTGAAATGTACAAAGTGCTTTTTGGTCAATTCGTAATAATGTTATCAAACCCTTTAGGGCAGAATATTCCTTAAGGCCAGTCAAAACTGCTTTTCATGGTGAACTTGTTTCAAACAACGAGATATTCATTTCTCATGACCGCCAGGTGGCTAATACGGGAATCACCGAATTTTTTCTGTTCTCGCTGTTTTTAACCAAAGTAAAGGACTATACAATGAACCAGCCTTTAGACGTATGGCGGTCACGATTTTAGATAGCGTCGCAGTCACTGAGTTACTTAAGACACCTGAAACACATTGCACATCAAAGAAAAATCTTAGTTACAAGGACTGGTGAAAACAAACGCCATACACATAAACAGTAATTTCAGTGCGCTCACAGCTCAAACCTTCATAATAAAATTATCTAATATTTACTTTAATGGATTCTGTTTTTGTATAACCATTTTTTACCTTATAGGTATCTTCTCCCCAATGTAAGGCTCCTGTCTTAGCACTTCCATAATTTTGATTTGTAAAGCTTGGATCTCATCAATGTTTTCATCTTTACCGAAAACCATTGTCTTGATCTTTCTTTGAGTTAATTTTGCAGTGTTGTCAATGCTGAAGATAGGCCGCACCACATGTCCTTCATAGTCCTTACCAGCAATTGCGTTCTGGATTTCTGTTTTCATTGTTTCAATGTCTTCAAATGGTTTGTCTGCATGGGTTCCTACAATGATCACTGGGGGGCGCAAATGAGGCACCTCTTCTTCTACATCATCACAGGTTTTTCTTCTCATCTGCGCGACGCTATGCACTGTGGACAGCCAAGACAACAAGTTCTCAAGATTTGTTTCTCCATTTGGGTTTTCCAAATCGACATTACGAGACCCTTGCCTCACACAGGGCTTGGCAGTGTCATGCAGTGACTTGCTGAGGTTGCATACCAAGATGTACAGCGCACGTGATGATAAAAATACAGGATGAGATGCATAATACAAGTGTTGTCCAGCAAAATCCCACAGTTCAATACTGACAACAGATTCTTCAGCCTTAACATCTTTACCGTTTAATTCCCTTCTGAACCCTACAGCTCGCTCCTTGATCTCCTCTGGACATAAAGTAGTATCAACCACTAACTCATGATCAGGTCCTGTTAATGTGAGTTCACTAACACCGTCTTCGTTTGCATCACGTTCCTGTAACAGAGTGCGAAAAAAAAGAAACAAAATAACTGTTGTTTCGGATTCTGAAAGACTTAAAATGGCTTGTTTGATTTTGATTCGATTATTCAGCCATTTAAAGTTGTTTCTGATGATAGAAAATTCTTTGTAGACTTAAACATGGAGACACGATTATTGGAGGCATGAGATATCCAAAACATTAATACGCTCTTACATTTTTTAACAGTCAGAATTTAAGAATATATAGAAAAAAATATTTGATTGAGTCCCCCAGCCCTTTGGCTTTGCTCCTCGCATAAAAAAGAAAACATCAGCGAAATTGAGATTAAAAACAACAAAACTATACTCAGGGCCTAATTAACACTTAAAAGTGTAAATAAAGATACGGCTACACTCACTTTGGTTTGCACACGCCAACCCAAAGGCTAAGCTTACGTGTAGATGGGTACAACATAAAATAAAACATAATGGCTGATGGTAGTATCATTCTACACTTAGAACTGAAATTACTAGACAAGTATAAAAACGCTGAATTTTTAACCGCCACTGAAAAAAGAACGATCTTGCAATTATTACATATTTTCCACATGGACATTGTAGGAAAGGACAGGGAAGCCGAGGTAAATTTCTCACTAAAACCCAACTTATGAGGGCGATAATCAATTCATAATAATTACTGTTAACACGTTCTTGAAGTTACGAAGGATTCACGAAAAAACGTCGCATTTCAAAACCAAGAAAGACTAACCTGGTTCACAAGAGAAACTTCTTCCTTTTCTGCATCAGTACCAACCTGTTTCCTGTTCTTGTTATAATCATTTTGAAGAACTGCATCACCTCTTTCCTCCTCCTGAACCAAATCACAGATAAATGAAATGTCATGCATCTTTTCCACCACCACCTGTGCCACATCTTTCGAACATCCTAGCAACCCTTGTTTTTTCTCATCAATAGGTTGCCAATTTCTGACTTCATTAAAGTTCAACCGAAATTTTGAAGGATCCACTTCAATTCCATCAGTACTTTTTTCTTTTGAATTAAAAGGTAGACCAATGAGAGACTTCTTCAAACTTGTTTTTCCTGCCCGATCCTGCCCAATAAGCAATACTCGACCACGGTAAACATTAACAGCTCCATCTTCAAGAGCACTTTCATAAGCGAGCTGTGCTGCTATTTCTGGAGGAACTGGTGAACAAAACACCAAATGCTTATTAAAGGTAAGTAATGTTAGAGGTTGCGTAGTTCATTGGCTTCTAGTTCACTTGACTGACCTAGGAGGTGGAGGGAGCGGGGGGGGGGGGGGGGGGGGGGG